CAGAAAATTTTAGCTGTCCTAGAATGTTATTAATATAATTAATACCTGCTACTACGCAAATTTCATAGCTATCTATTCTTAGATATTTTGTGATATTTTAATACTTTTAAATTATACACGAAAGAATTTTGTTATACATTCATGCTTCTAAAAATTAATTCGTATAAATTAAATCATATTAATTTTTACTTTTAATTAAAAACTCTCTTAATGACTTGATAAAAAAATAATTAATAATCGATTATTTTTAATTCAATTTTAAATAAATCTTAAAAAGAATGTACTAGAAATTTTTGATGTAAACTTTTTTGACTCATTTATATATCTTGCTTACCACAAGCCACCGCTTTGCCAAAAGATGATGCAATAAGCTCTCCAGGTAAACCTTGGGAGGAATAATCGCCCCCATAAATATCTTTCACTAACATATCTACATTACGGTGATCTCCTCGTTCTGCAAGTTGCAGCAATTCATCAAAGTCCTAGTAGGGTGTTTTTAAAGTCATTGTTTTAATACATATCTATATATACAATTCACACGACTCAACGGTACTATGATGGAGCAGAATCTTCTCATACAATTAATTTCTTACGATTTTATTTCTAAATATTTATAGATATTTGTAAAGATTCATAAAGACATTTAATCCATCCAAATATAAAGATATTGATAACATGCACTTGGTATAGTGATAGTAAAAAGAAATTAATCTAAGAGATTATTAAGGTGTAACTAAGAATTATGTAACTTCTGTACCTTTCTTTTTGTGAGTAACGATCCCAATCCCCAAAATGTACCTCCTCCCGTGGCTGTACCTCCGACTCTTTCAAATACTTCATCTGATTCTACCTATAAAAATAAAAAAAAATGTCTTCAAATAAGTAAATTTATTCAGAATAACTTATTACTAAATAAGTTTATTAAGTACCTATTGCTTACTTTAAGAATACTGACGCCACTGCCAACGTTAACCAACAAATATGGAAATATGTTAGGTCCAGCTTTTTGAAACTTGTATTCCGGATTCGCATGTCGGTGATATTCAAATGCTTCACATGGTATATTTTTAAGTAAGAAATTACAACCCTTTATCAGACAGTCTATCTCGTCTTTCTTGTCAACTCTGCAATTTTATCTTATCAGTCAGTAAACATCATATCTCAAAAGTTTCATATTTCACCAAAAATTAAAAATATAAACTTGAATATTTCATATTGTAAGATACTCACATTACGACACTAAAAATTTGATTAGCGAAGAGAAAGGTCAAAATATAAGAATATACTCACAATAATCCTAATTTGTCTTGCAGCAATGGGGTATATTTGAATGCTCCGCCTCCAGTAACTTTAATACTTTTCCCATGAAATCGTTCAACATCCACTAAATTCTTTTTGACAAAGTTTAAGCAGTTCTCGATATATTTTGTCTCAAACTTAACAAAATGCAGTCTATTACCCTCGAATACTTTGTATGCTAGTTCTCCACTGTTCCCTAAACCTTCTGCATCCTCATAAAGTGCTTTGCGATAACTTACTGTTGAGTAATAGGCAATTTTCGTTAACGACAATCCTGAAATAATACGCACTAATGTATACCTAAATTTGGATAGAATGTAAAACATAACAAAATGGTAATAATAACTTAAGAATATAATTAATAATAAAATTCATTAAATAATAAAGGAACGTTATTATAAATTCATAATTCAACCCTTTTTTTAAATTTGACAATCAAAGTAAAACTAAAGCTATTTGGATATAATAGAATCAGCAAAAATAATGTAATATGTAAAATATAATTTTTAAGATGTAATATACAACCCAATATAAATTTTATTCTATTTCTTCTTTTATTATTGTTATTTTAATAAGAAAAAATTTTTTTGAAAAAAATCCTTATGCAAAAAACATTACTATATTAACATATAATAACATAATATAATAACATATTTGTAAATTTATGCATGTCTTTTATTCATGTCAAATGATAATTGTATATATAAATGAAAGCGTAACTACATAATTTAGTATGCAATATGTTGCTACAGGTATCATGTTACAGTATTGTGATAGGTCAATTCGATCGTCAATTCAATGATTACTTGATCTCATGTAACGGTCATGTTAACCTCTCGAGGGATCAGGAACCGCGTGAGGGTACTAATAAGTAATTAGTAATCCCAGTCTCGGGAAGGTACCCGGTCGACGACGTACCGATGTCTATGGCGAAGGTTTGCGCATTCTTCAAATTGGCGAACACCTCGACAGCGGGTGGCAATTTAATACACCGTGGATGCGACCGTTCGTCGCTGTCGTTCTCCGCTGCCATCCCTACGTCTACTGTCTACGAATGATCCGTTCGGTTTCTCTCACGATTGTGTGACTTCGCGACACTTCTATTCTACGGGGCATCTAACACGACTGGCAAGTTGACGGACGTGTGTGTTTACATCACGATCACGATATGATCATGATATTATCAGCCAGATAAGCCGTTTCCAACATACATCACTAACGTAAAATGTAAATATCTGACTCGAGAGGGAAAGATCCCCTTCAAAGATTTTCGTGTTTTTCTCTCTCTTTCTCTCTCTCTCTCTCTCTCTCTCTCTCTCTCTTTCCCTCTGCCACAGTGTGGCGCAACGAGGACCTGCGTTTCGTTTCACATATGATGCACATGATGTATCATTTTATCTTTTTTTAATATTTGGTGAACAAGGATAAAATAATATATCATGCGTGAAACGGAATGCATCTGAGATCTATTTACTTACGTTTATCCAAATCCGGATGGCACAAACTGCTGATTTAAAAATGTACATCACGCATAACAAATGTTTGTATGCATATGTATGTATAAATATATGATATTAATATGTACAGTGTTCCGTAAGTTTTTATCAACCGTTTTTGTAGATAGAGTGGACTAAACTGAGTCGAAAAGTTCTCTATCATTTTACAATTTTCGCAATGGTTAACGAGATATTAATTACTAAGAGTCGCTAAATATTGGTTTTCAATAATTTTTCACTCAAATACTATCAACTTTACAGAAAAACAACGAAAGACAAAAATTGTTTATTTTCTTCTCACAAAGTCCTAAGAATTTTTTCAGAATTTTTTAATACTGCATTTTTTCATGGTGGTAAAAATAAAGAAAATGCAGTACTAAAAAGTTGAGAAAAAATTCTTAGATTTTTATGAGAAGAAAATAAATGATTTTTGTCTATTGCAGTTAGTCTATTGCAGTCTGCTCTACCTGCTCAGGATAGGTGATGCCGAATTTTAGGGACACCCTATATATACAGATATAGACATTGTGCTGAAGCACTCTGCATTATCGAGAGGCAGGCAGAGAAGAATAGAAAGAGAAGTACAGAAGAATATCTGTTTTTATTGCACGCATTTATAATATTGTTTACAGATGTGCGCATAAATTTATCACAGATAAATCAATAAGTTTTGTTAAACCAGAGAGAAATCTTTATCAAATTATGTTAAGTTCGTTTTGCGTTTGTAATTTTTACTCTCCTCATTATTTCGGTAGGCATTAGAACAACAGACTTTGCTGGTGCCGCATCATTTTGTAAACTTTTCCGTTCTATTGCAATCAATTAATGCACAAATAAAATAAATAAAAAAATAAATCTGAGGGTGGACATCCCGGTCTTTTCTGTATACCAAACCTTATAGGATAGTGTCACGTTTTTGTTCTTTTCCATGTTATTACGTGAGTTAGCCATTAAGGACGAACAAAGAGTTGATTGTTCATCTTTGTCTAATTCGTGTACACAAAAAAAGCCGGGAAGTCCATTTTCAGGTTTCTCTCTGATTGAACTTTGTATTTCTTATAATTTCTCTTTCGCTAATAGCATATTTATTTCCTTTTAGAAAGCATAGAAAGTGTAATTATGCAGGCCTATTCTTTATATACTTGAACCTTGTGTACTCTTTCCGCCTTTTCTCCTTGTCTATTCTCTGTAGTTGAACTGGTGTACACTTTTCGAACTTAAAGTGAAATAGATATAACTAGATATAATTCATATCAACAGCCTAGAATAAAAGACGTGAGTTTATTTTAGAATTTATTTTAATATATAACTCGGATTAACACAATCGATAGAATTATTTATGCAAAAACAATTAATACTATATGTTAACAACATATCATGAATTAGTAACAAATTTTTTAGTTATACAATTTTTATTCCTATTTTTAACTTCAGCTAACCTAATTTCTCACGTGTTGAAACAAAATTTTAATCGTTCTATATTAATGTTGAAAAGTATATATATTAATACTAATTGTATAAATTAATTGTAGAAATTTGATTGAAGCTATCCATAGAGATTTATAAATAATGATGTAACATATGTATTCTTGTTAGTAGGTGTTCGAGTTAGAATAATAATGCGAATTATAATTTAGATTATGATAGAAGAACTGTGTTGCAATTGTTTGGCAATATCATTGCAGGTACATGCACACAAACTGTCGATTACAATCTGAAGGAAACTTGTATAATTAGAAAAGACACACCTCACACATTACAGAGAATTAGTTAGAAAAATTTCATTGTATAATGGAAGAAGAAGATAGGTCACATTACATATATCTTTTAAAAAATCTCCCAACTTGTTTAGCAAATATTTTCGAATATGATAATGAAGAAGAAAGATCTCGAGAAATAGCTGTTGCTCTAATGACCTGTTATTCTGTGTATCTAAAAAAATATGCTTTTACTGAAGTGAGAGATTTTAGAACTAAACAAGTTGTTCAGATATATAAATCACTTCTTAGCAAAGGCGATGAGTATGTAACGTCTCCTGAAGCTTGGCAAAAAGCCTTAAGATTGGAAGCAAAAAGAGAAAGAAAATTTATTATGAACACATTGACAACTACTACTAGAGAGAAACTTGTTCAATTAATGGAAGAATATAGAGTATCATCAGAACAATGGTATTTACTTCTAAATTTGTTATTTAATGTTAAAAAGAATATGAAAGTTTTGCCTAATGGTAGTATACAATTACCACCTGGAAAAGAGATAGATGATATCATAAACATAATCTGTAGAGATGAAATAGAACAAATTTATGTATTTACTTATTCATTAATTGCACGCTTACGGAAATTCTATTCTGTTAGACAAATTGTGAGAGTATTAGTTGAATGAATTAACAAAAATTTACAATAATTACATTAAGATGACTTGCCATGACGTAACAATTTTTTTTGTTAGAATAAAATTTCTAAATATTTGTTAAAAATGAAATAAACCTGATTTTGAGAAATAAATATTTTTTTATTTTTTCAAAAAAAAAAAATGTTTGATTCTTTACTTAAAATTTTTCCATACTGAATATTTCACGTTATAATATCCCTTCATTTAGAAAGAATTGTGTATTTTAGTCAGCATATGTAAGGATTAATTTGATTCTTTTATACATAATTATATTTCTGAATATTTTAAACATAATACAGCTGAAATGTATTTTTATTAGATATTGAACAATTTTTTTTATAAATTTAATTTTGCGGATATATCACTGAGGATTCTCCATATAATTATTGTTTTATCGAAATACTATTTCGAAATTAATTGTGCAAACAGTTATAAATATTTTAAAGATCAGTATTTTTACAATAAAATTACCAAACAGTTTCAATACAATTTTTCAATATAGTTTTTTGTATAGAAGATATTTATATATTAGTTATAGCAGCTTTCGTCATTTTGATGCCTAGTTTCTTGAAGTTTGTAAATATAAGTATAATTTTTACCTAATAAGCTTACTAGCTTTAGACTTCAACTCTTCATAAAATGTGGCCGAGGTGATAATTGAGGTTGGAAAATTGAAGGATACATGGGATCGACTCTGGAAGTCAATCATTTTCAAGCAGAATCGTGCGTCACATACATGTATGCATATATGTACACACGCACACATACATTATACATTTATATATACATATATACATACAATTACTTTCAACGTAGTATGAATGTTGGATATATATGCAATATTAAAAATGCTCTATAAGATAATTAATTTTTTTTATATCAAATCAATTAATTATATTAATTTGTTTCTAAAACTCTGTTTTTTGCTTAAGAAAACTTGAAATTTCTTTGCTTTGATGGTAAAAGTATGGAGTTAAACTTATTTTGTAATAAATTATATGAACCATATTTACAAAACTTATAAGATACAAATGGAATATAAAAAGCTCTGAAGAATGGATGCGATCTGTAACATAAATGATGATAGGATATCAGTTATAAATATAATTTTCATTAATTACAGTTAACATATTATATATGTATGTGTGAATAAAAGCTTTGGACTTACTTTGATGCATCTAGGAATTTAGAAGATTTCACAATAATAAACTGATCATTTAGGCGAGAGTAATTCGGTTCTAGAGCTGTTTCAGTTTCTGTATCCAAATCTAACAGAAAATGGCACTTATCTAGATTAAACTGAAAGCAAAAGGCAGAAATGTGATAATATATCTATAGTGCTGTAACAGAATTTAAAGTGTAGTAACAGATAATATTGTTATCTATATATATAAGATAGGTACGTACATAACGCGATGGTTCTTCTTTATTCATATCATTAAAATGTGCTTGAATTACACTTGTTGCATTTTCATGATCTAAGAAGGATTGAGGTAACTGTCCTTTAAATTCGGATTTCAAGTATTGTAATTTCCAACTGAAAATGATTTTAAAAATAATGTAATTATATCAAATTAAAGAAGTATATTACTATATGTTTGCATTAGCCATAGAGATGTGTTCTTTAACATATCCCTCTCCTTCAACAACAGAATTTCATAAATCCAAAAATTTTAATTTTTGAAACTTTTGAAACTAGCAACTAATATTGTGCGCTAATTTTTTCACTTACTTATTGGACGGAAAGAAAAAACTGCTAGGGAAACGATGCCATTCTTTTCCAATACAGAAATTTATGTCAACATCTCTAGGTACGCCTTCTGTTTCCAGTTTGTTGACTTCAGTCATAATTTCCATGGGAGCATAATATCCTAACGCATATAATCATAAATTTCTTATCAAACTATTATTTAAACCAAATCGCTTTTAATATAATAATAATAACCTTTATATATCGCCAACGATCTTGATAGTCCCAAGAGGCCACATATTAGTATTGCTAAAACAGTGATGTGTACAGTATATTGCAAATAGTGGCAACTGATATGCGATGGATTGAATTTCGTTCTAACATAAAAGTATAACTTCTGTACAATATCCACCGCTATAGCGCCTGCTAAACAAATCATAGGATACACTGGAAACAAGAACCGTTCCTCCTGTTGACACATTTATTTTGTCAGTTCCTTCATTTTCTATTTTATCAATTCATTACATATCAATAGCACAACAATCTAAATATCATGGAAAAATAAAAAATTTTTAGCGTTTCTTGTATACTCACCGACTAAAAGGTTGCAAATTTTTTTCTATTTTTGAAATACATCCTACTCACCGAACAATTGGTCTTTACTTACAGATCCGCAAGTAAAAATCAACCGCTCGATAAGCAGACTGCTTCCGAAATTCATTAAAAAAAAGTGTTGCAACCTTTTAGTTGGTGTGTGTATATGTAAAAACGCAATGTTCAATTGCATTTACTTTTCTCTTAATAATATTATTATTAATGATACTTTATACGTACTTTGTGCGGTTGAACGAAGAATACAAGAATCCACAGATACAAAGGAGCCAATGAATACCAGTAAGAAAGACATGAACGGTCTCTTGGACGATGCTTTGCTGGCACGATCAGCCATGCTAAAAACTATAAACATAGTTAAAATACTGCTGAAATAAATTATGTGTTGTACAAGATATTGCAATTATCGTGCACTTTCAATTGATTTAATACAATCTCTTAAAAATTAAGTGACTTTAAATATAATTATAGTTTTTGGAAAGATACATATAAATAATTTATTGTGTCAATTTCGAGAAAACTTTAAAAACTGTAATATTAATAATAAAGAAATATAATATTTAATCCAACTTTGAAGTTAGAAGAGAATTATTCAAGTTTCGTTGAAGAATCTCTGTAGTTCACAGAAAGTGTGCGATACCCGAGACATTTTGTTAAATAGATTGAATATGAACTATTCTTACTAAGCCTAAGGGTGCGAATAATGCACCAATAAAGACGAAATTGAAATTCAAGAATCCATTAATGATGTAATAACTAAACGGCTCAGTGCCATAAAGATTAGGTCCATGGCTGGTGAAAACATTGTACAATATGATGTTTAATGGCGCGATGACAAGTTTGCCGAAGTACAAGGAATCCACCCATACCATTGGTATCACAATTACAATGGCAGATATAATGACCCATTTTATGAATTTGACCCAATCTCGTTTATGTATTAACATTTCAACAGCGATGGGAAGCCTACAAAGTAAAGTAAAGAAAATGAGTTTCTCTGTTGTAATATGTATCATGCCAAAATTGTTCACGTTAGTATAAAAATTACCCGAGCAGCGCAGCGAATGGCCATCCAAGTAACGAAGAGATAGCGGTAGCAAAAATAGCCAATTCATACTGGCGAGCGTACCAAGCTGCTGTAGCAACAGTACTCAGATACCTGTGATAAATATTTATATCTAATGTATCGAATGTAACTAATATATTTTTCATCTTGTAATTGTACTCACATTGAAAAAGATGATGGCAAAAACGCAGCACTGGAGATATACATCCCAGAGCTGAGAATAAGGAATACAAATGTAAGTCTCGCCACATGAATTCCAAATTCGCGACAGACACTCCTAGAATACAGAATTATATGTTATAAAAAGTGATGTGTCAATCCTTACATAATATGTAAGTGTCAGTTTTAAGGGAAAAACGTACTTGTAAAAGTATACTTCAGATAATGTACAACCCACAGATAGGAAGCATCGCGTAAAATAGAAAACTAACGCGGGATTTGGTTCCAATAGATAATGATAAACTTTTGCTGGTACCATGTGAATTAATAAGTACATATACGAACGTAAGGCATATTCAGGACTGTACTCCCATGTTTGCTGGCCTATTCCGTAGAGCAAGAAATGACTCTAAGACAAGACATAGTGCAGATATAATGAAATGCATCGCGTCAAAGTATATTATATCCATTAAAAATATCAAAGAATGAGAAATTTATTGTGTCCACATTGCAAAATAGTCAAGTTTATCGAAAAGATTTTGTAAAATGCCTGCTACAAATTTTGTTGACAGAATACCAACACAAATGTAGCAGAATTCGCTATTGTAACTATTCAAATGATACCACTTGTTACAATTAAATAATTCCACTTAAATACTTATTTACAAAATGATAGATTCTTCTCAATTTCTGTTGAATTATATTGGAAAGTTCTATTGGCAGAATACAAATTTAATGCACACTTAACTGATACTAATCCATGATAGCAATATTTTGCTAGTATACTGTTAACATTTTGCTTGCTGAAGATATTCTAGGAATGATTTATTTGTTTTCATAAAAGAAATAATTCTACTTTTTAATATTTTTTTAAGACATATTAGATGCAACAAAGAACGTGTACATTTCAAAGTATAATATTTTTGTAGTATTTTTAAGTTTATGTAAAATTGAATTATAAACTCACTGGTTCCCAGTAATTATACGTTTCATCACAGTCTGTTATATGACACCATACAGCAGAGCAAAATCTTGCCGATAATAGCAATTTAAAAGCTGTATCATAGCAGGGATAAACAAGTCCCATGTCGGAAGATTCTTCTGGCCTAAAACATTGTTTAATTATTTCCTTTTTTTACTCTATATATATATATGTATATTCATATTTTTAAGATATTACAATACATATTGCATAGGTCACAGTTTTTAGAACATTGTTTTCTATAAAGTTTGCAAGATACAATTAGAAAATAACAGTAAAATTAGAAAAATAACAATAAAAATGCATATCATTCTTAGCATCTGTAAAATACAATTGTTATAATAATCAATTGAAAATACAATAAAAGGCAAGTTAATACATGAAATAGATCCTTTCTTGAGATTAAACATTTCATATATATTAAGTCGTGGAAATTAAATGATTAATTTGTAACATATGTTTTTGTTTTGCAATTTCAATATGCTACAGAATATAAGCTTCTTATTTCTCTTTCGAGATTTACATGTCAGATATTGTTTCATTAATATAAAAATATGTGTGTATATATATATATATATATATGGCTGAAGTATAACAGAGGACATATTTATAGCTGTTTGTAGATTTATTCCTATTTCAACAATAAACAATTGACAGGTGAAATTATTTGGTCCCAGCTGATTAAGTATTTCGTACAACAATTTACAAAATCTGAAGAAAGAAAAAAATATTTTATGTACTTTGAGAATCTTCTTCCATTAATCTTTTTCAATTCTTTCTTTGACAAAACGAGCTGTCGTTGACGTTGGTTAGGTGCCATGATCTTCTCGCTGTTCTTATTTATTATCCATTCGAATCACATTTCTATATGAAATAAACATTTATCAATAATCAATACGGAGAAAAAGGATAAAATAGAAGTGGTTGTTGAAATTTCACTCGTATGTCAAACATTTCTTCAAGAGGAACGAACCACGGGGAACGAACATATGTCTCAATCTTCAACAATTCTCAATAAACATGTATGCGTATTGTTCAGTGTCGTTTTCGTAACAAGATAAGAAGCGTATGATGAAAAGAGATAGCGTTTGTAACGCCCTCGCTGTTTCAGAGGAGGCCAATTGGAACTAATAATCAATATCTGTCGATAATATTCATTTATTTATATTCGAATCCCGAGTGAGACAATATTTTTCGCAGTAAAATTAAGATATTTTTTAATTCATCGATTAATCGCTTTATGTTAATTTTGTACGAATGCAACTTTGTCTTGTAAAAACTGCATTTGCGCATAATGCAATTGATTAATCAAAGAATTAAAAAACCTGCCTTTATTTACAGTTTTTAAGATACTTATTAGCTTTAAATTAGTAATCTTAAAATACC